GCCGCAGGGTCTTCCCGTTTGAGTACTTTTCAATTTAGACCCAGTGCTGTGGAAGGGCGCGGACTTGTGCGGTGTTACCCCCTCGACGGGGGCTATCTCCCCTGGACTAGCCCAGGGAGGGAGAGGCGGAGGAGGGTAGTAGTCTCAGGAGGCTGTTTGGCGTCTTGTGGTGTGAGCTCTTTGCGCTCTTTTTTGCGTGAGGATTTTTGAGCTTGGTGACCTCCCCAGCCCGGGAAGACTCGTCGGGCTCCCGGTCGCCCAAGTCCTGGTAGCGAGCTCTCTGAGATGCTCGGTTCGTTCGGTCGGCAGGAAGAGCCCCCCAGTTGCGACTTCGTTTATGTTAGGAGACCAACGGGCATAGATCCCGTCTAGTTGGAGCGCCAAACAAGCGCTGTTGCGTGCCGGCCGTCGTTTCCCGTGCGGCCTGACCCGGGGGCGGAGTGCATGAGACTAACCAGCCGTATGCACCCGCCCCCCGCGCTGTGCTTCGGCCCTGGGCCCCCGGCTTTTCAGCCCACAGTGTAATCAACGTCATACATACATACATACATATGTATATACATACATATATATATATACATACATATATATACATACATACATATATATACATACATACATATATATACATACATACATATATATACATACATACATATATATACATACATATATACATACATATATATACATACATATATATACATATATATACATATATATGTGAATATAGATGAATATGTCTTGCGCATGTATGTGTCGCCGCACCCCCATATCCACACCGCACATGACGGCCACCTTCTCCCCCCTCGCGCCTTTCCGTCCGTCCGGGGTCCCCATGTCCTGATTTTGCTTCTCCTCCTGCCCGTACTGCCCGTACTGGCTCCCATCAGCGCAAGAAGCGCAACGAGGCCGCACAAGGTGCCGTACAGCCCGCCACTCAGGGCGCTGTCGTCGAACTAGAGCCCCAGGAGGGCCAGGACACGTGTACGAATCCCGGCGTGGTGGCGAAGAAGGGCCTTATGTCCTGTGACACCAGTACCGACACCAGTGCGGAAGAGCAGGACACCGCCGCGATGTTGAGTACGACAATGACCGGCAGCGGCAACACCAACACCAACACCAACACCAACACCAACGCCAACGCCTTTGAGCTTGCGGCACTAGAGGCTGCATCGGCTGCTGCCGTACTCGGGAGGGCACCCGGCCGGACGAGTTCTTCCGATGCAGGAGCCAGAACGACGTCATCATCGTACAGAATGAGCTCCGAAACCGGCTGTGCCGTCGCCAGCGCCGCCGCCTTGCTAGGGGCAACGGTGACGGCGACGAACAATCCGCGAATCGCCAACCAGATAAGTTTGGTTTCCGCCAGCGCAATTAGCGTTACCGCCGGCGGTACCGTAAGGCCGTCGTCGCGCGGTGAGTTCGGCGGCAGTAGTGGTGCCGCCGCCGCTGCTACTGCCGCGGCGTTCCGTACGGATCCGCTGATGAGCAGCTCCCGTCGGGGCTCCGCCTCCGACCGCAGGACCGCGCATAGACAACAACTACAGCCGCACCCACAGCCGCAGCTAACGGACGCACGGGAGGCCATAGCCACCGCTTTGCAGCGGGGCGGCGGCGGTAACGACGCCGCCGGTGGCGGCGTCGGCGGCAGCTCGTTTTCGGCGTCCGCTCCAGCTCCTGCGGCAGCTGCCGTGGATGTAGCAGCAGCAGCAGCTGGCACGGACATCCCGGGAAGCTGCCCGCGGGAGGGGAAGTCTAGGAGGGCCTCGTTTTCAGAGAGGAGCGCCTCCGGAGGGGGTGTGGTGGGAGGAAGAGTCGCAAGTGACTGGGGGATGGAGTCGCTAATGGGGAGCAACGGCGGCGGAACCCCACTTTTCCAGGTAGTAACCTCTTTTTCTTTTCTCATCCTCCATCCTACCTAGGCCGCGTGAAGTTTTATATATACTAGGATCGTGGACTATCCCGGTGGTTTCATTGGCTTCTGGCGCATTTTTCGCACGGGCACGAATTCCCGGGCCCCCAACCCTGCCCAGCCCTGCATGCCCTGTCAGGTTGCGTGACGAACGAGACCCTGGCCTATGCCGCGGTCTATCCAGCATTCCCGCCAGCTGCAAATACGCCAGCAAGAGATCTGCATATCGGCTCTCTTACTTGTACTTTCTATTTGTTTATCTGTATCTGTAGATTAGCTTTGCGGTTGCTCTGTTCTCTCTCTCGACTAATTTGAGAAATTTCTGTGTATTGTATTATTAGTCTATGATATGTAAATAATCATGTACATAATCATCATGCATTCAGTTTAATGATTATTTTTTTTATCCTTCGTTTGTCAAATGACTCAAACGTTTGCTCGCTCGTTTTTCGCCCATCAGGTTGTAGGAGGCGCCCAGGCGTTGAGATCTCCCTCCGCCACCAGTCGTACATCTCTGCTGGTGCGGAGTCCCGACCCGTGGGTCGAAGCTGCTCGGTCGATGAGGACGTTGACCGTTATCGTAAGTGTATGTGTACGTGTGTGTATGTATGCGTGAAGGGTTGGAGGGTTGGAGGGAGGGAGGGGCGAACGAGGGGCTACGCATCTGTCCGACTGCGCGACTGTGTGTCACGGCAGCAGGCCGCCGGGGCCTGAGTACGGGTCGAAGATGCTTAAGCGATCCAGCATTACCTAGCTGCCGTACCATCGCTACGTCATTGTTAAAGTCAATGTCGTTCGTACTACAATGTTTACGTACGGCTCCTCAGGAGGATTCTTGTGAGCTGCCCGTACTCAATTCTGGGTTCGTGGCCGCTACTACTACAACTACTACTACTGCAGCTGCTGCTACTGCTGCTAATGCTACTGCCGAGTCGGGGACGTCGCCGCGGGCTGCACAGACGGCGGCAACGGCAGCAGCGGCGACGGCGGCGGCGGCGGCACCCGGTAGCCCTGGACTTCAGTCTGCCAGGCTGGGTGGTGCCGCCACTTGGGCTGGGCCTTCCGCACAGTTTGGCAGCAGTGGTGGCGGCGGCGGCGGCGGTGGCGGCGGCGCCGCCACGGAGGACAAGGTGGTCACGGCGGCGGTGGCGGCGGCGATCCCAAGCATCCCAACGGTTGTTGTGGCACCCGCTGTACAAGTACGGCAAACGCCTTCCATGCGCAAGCATAACCCAGTGTTCCAGAGGACCAATCCGCCGTATCTGTACGGCAACCGCCGCGAAGGTGACGACCGGCCCAGTGGCGGTGTGGCAGGCGTTGACCCCGGCGGCGATGGCGATGTGCCAACGCTTGATACTTCCGCTGCTGCCGCCGCCGCCGCCGCCCCCCTAGGCGACGGCGGCGACGCCGTCACCCCATCCACGTCTGGTGGTGCCGCTGGCGCCGCTGCCGCATCCGCCTCCGCGCCCTCCACTGTTCTCTTCCGCAGCAACCCCGAAATCCGAGTCGGCGCGGGATCCAGGCCGGGATCCAGATCGGGTTCCGAATCCAGACCAGGTTCAGGAATCGGATCTCGTTCCAGTGGAATCCCTGCTACTGCTTCTGCTACTGCTACTGTTGCTTCCGCCACCACCGCAAGCCGACTGGGGCCGCGTGGGAGGACACACCTGGGCCTTATCACCGCGCCATCTGATGTGGCAGCGGAGGTCGACGGGGCCGCGGACGCTGAGGTGGAGGGTGGGGCGGAGGGGGGGGGTGCTCCTGCGCTCAGCCAATCCGTGCCGGCACGTCTTTGGAAGCGCCCCGGGACTGTGGGCGCAAGTCCAGTGTCTGGGTTGGAGTCCGCCGCCGCCGCCGCCGCTGCCGGCCCCGCGCCGTCACGGCAGCAAGCGGGTCGTCGGTCGGCTTTGTTCAACCGCCCGGAGGGGCGGGAGGTCGGCTGGGGCGCGGAGGAGCCGCCTCAGAGAGAATCGCAGCCATCGGAAGCGTCGTCGGCCGGGGGCATCATGCCACCATCAAACACCCGCAACTTCTTGAGGTGTGTTATCATGCGTCATCATGAGTGATGAGCCCCGCGGGCGACATGGGCTTAATTAAGAGCGTGTAGCTCCCTTGCTGCCGAGTGTGGCGAATATAGCAATACTAATATGAAATGTAGGAGTAAAAG